TGGACTGAAATGCAGCTTGCTGGCTTGGAAATCCTGCAAATGAAATGCATAGACGGCTCATGCTTCAAATATCTTTTGGATTATAAATAACAAAATCCAGAAACTCTGGCCCTAATGTTTCTGCTGGTATCCATGACCTACATACACAGTTGACAATATCTACAACTAGCCACATATCCGGCCTGAGAAGCGGAGAATCATTTTTCAACTTTTCTGTTCTAAAATGTTTTCATGTTTATACACAGTTTGAAGAACTCCTAATTGTGAATAGTTTAGCAGAAGAATGTCTGAACTGCTTTCGTTTATCTTCTCTCTGAAGAGTTGAGATGATACTTCGAACCATTTGTCCTACAAACTAATGCTTGCGGCAGTTATTTTATTGTTGGAGTAAATGTGACATCTCTGCCCTCATGTCTGCATCACATTAAGATAGATTTTTGGTTTTCTTTTAATCAAAAGGGTTGCCTTGAGGCCTTTGAGCTTCTGTGTATTGGAAATACAGCTTTGTTTCCTCGCTTGCTATTTAGTGTTGGTCAAGATTTCTGCATAGAAACCACTCATTGCAAAACCTGAAAGGGGCTGTAGGCTGTGGTTGCAGCAAGGCGTATAATGCCATGTGTTAGTATGTTTTGTCACTTTTTTGGTGTTTCTAATCAATTATTTAAGGATCTGTTACCTATTTCTTGACGGATTTTTTGTTGTTTTTTTGTTTGGTTGATTTTAAATGATGAAATCTGATGGTTAACCATCTAAGGAATTGGTTTTCATGGTGATTTCAAGGTGATTAAGACTCTGGAAAATGCTTGCTATGGAAGTTCAAAGGTTGTAATAGAGGTCGTGGTTTCATAATACAGTAAATTGGGCTTGAGGGCTATTTGTAGTGGGTCTGAATGCTGCACCTGCTTACCGCAAGTGCTCTTCTACTGTAGGTTGGTAAAATATTGCCAATGTCTCACAAATTTTGAGTAAGTTGAACTGTAGAAGTAGGCTTTTAATTGGACTAAGTTTCATGTGTCTGCCATCCTAGTCTTACAGCAACTGCTAAAAGATGATGTAGTCATATTTGATGCTGATTAGCTGGATGATTCAATGGGACTTGGTATTAATAAGCGTGGATCTGACTTGCATTCGTTTGATATTTACACTGCCTACCAAGTTTTCAGTAACACTCTTGAACATGCTCAGAAGCCTGTGAAGCTTTTGCTTTTGTTTAATTGTGCTGCAGAAGGTTCACTTTGTTTTGCTCCATTAGTCCAGTTTGACTTCTAATGTTAATCACAAAGGTAGATGGCATCAGGTTGAGGACAGCAGCTTTAAGCAATTACCATACTCAGTCATATATCCAAGACATCTTTCTTTATCCCAGACTGATTTGAGGTAATCCAGGAGTCTGTTGACTTTTGATAGATAGTGATGAGATATAAACAAATGCAGGACAGCAAATTTATGGTTTGTAATTTTTGCCTGTTTTCCCACTCATCAATCACACCATATATTTTCTGTGTTAATTGTGGGAAATTTCATTGTGGGAAATGGCAGAGCTGGGGTGGGATTTTGGAGGAAAGATTGGCATGAGGAAAGTGGAGGTGAAATGTTCCCTTTCTTCGGCAGCAAGCAGGGCAGTTTGTGCAAGAGGAGCTGAGATGTAAGGAAGACCAGGACGAGCTCCAGTTACACTGGGAAGCTCTCTCTTGGTGCTAGAGGTAACCGAGGTCTCTAAGGTGATCTGCCCGCCACCGTTGTGTGCTGTGCAGCTGTGCCATTAGGCTGCGCTTTCCTGGAAACTTCCTTCAGTGAAGCTGCCTTACAGCCACTGTGCTGCAGTTGGATGAGGAAGGCCCTCTCCCACTGGCTTTTCCACTTAAAATAATGCACGCGAAACCTTAGCCCTTGTTGCGTTTGATACAAATGTCTTGTGTTTTGATTCAGCACTAACGACCAGGCCTTAGAGTTATCGTGGGCATTGACTTGTTGACTTCATCTATTAATGAAAGCACAGCGCTCAGATTTAATGAAAGCTTTTATTTCCCTCCCCCTCCTTTTTAATTTTAAAACTATTCCTCTCCTGATGATGGAAAGCAGATACTGTTAAAAGTGTTGGATGGGGTGTTTTTAGAAATGGGAAAAATGTGGAAGTGCTGGGAGAGCAATGACAGGCTTATGGTTGTCTGCTGCATCCCAAGACCATTATAGGATATTTCTTCATATCTCTATTGTAGCAAAAATACAAATTTGCTATAACGGTACACATAGCAACACACACACTTTCTTATAAGCATTCACATAGCGCGCACACACTGTTTCTTACACACATTCTTTTCAGATGTGCTTGTAAGATGGTAGGGTGAGTTTCCTTGTTTCCTTGTTTAAGTTTCACCTGAATCCCTCTGTACTTTGTTGTGTGAAAAAAATAATATAGGCAGTGCCCATAGCTCTGCTGTTGCAATGCTTTGGCAGTCAGAGTGGGGACAAGTATTGTGGGAAGAATGACCTATCCATAAAAACATAAAAATGTGGGCCATTCACCTGTCTGCTCTTCCCCAGGGCCTGGCTCACTTGCATGGCTGTGACAGTTTGTAAAACTTAAAAAAGGTGCTCCTTTTCTTTTTTAAAAAATCATTTTCCGTGAATGTTAGTGTTGAACTAGTCGATGATTTTTCTGCATCATTAAATATTCAGAAGCCTGATTAAGAACCTGCTGAGCTTGACCATCTTGGTTGTACAGTGCTTGCAAGTTCTCTTGCACTCTAGAGCTTTTTTTTTTTTTTTTTTGTCTGCCCTTTGGGTTAAGCATTGGAGTGGAGAATGGTATGGTGGAGGGTTTTGTGCCATGTACTTTTTAATTCCAGTAAGCATCAGAAAATTAGATGTTCTGATCGTATTTGAATGTGCACAGGCAGAACAGATATGTAGTGCTCCTGTTTAGTATATTACGTAGGTGCTCTTCAGAAAAATAACAATTTTTTCTTTAAAAGTATAATTTTACTGTAAGAACCTCTGCTCTATCTAGATCACAGAACAAGAACACATGCACAGATACGTGAATGGAAACTGGTGTGTGTCCAAATTTAAATCTTAGTTCAGCTCAGGAGTATGCAGGCCCTTCGTGTGGCATGCCTGGCATCTGGTGTTGATAGCTTAGATGCGAGGGAGAAAAAGCATGTGATGCTTTGGCTTTCGAAGATGGTGTGAAAAATGTGTGTGTGGGGTTTTTTTTTTTTTTTTTTTTTATGCCCTCACTAGCTTGTGAAAAAATAATTTGGGATAAGTGAGGATGCTTAGTCATTATAAGTTCTTACATATATTTTTTTATATATATATATATAGCTTGCATTGACTTTTGAGCCTTTCAAGTGCCTGTATAATTCCAGGTTTTTTATCTGCTGACCAGAGATTACATATAGCAATTCTGACATGCTTCTGCGTGTGAGCTGGTAGCCATGCCATAAGGAAAGAAATTAGAGATGGGACAAGGCAGAGAAAAGCAAAACAGATATATTGTAGAGGAAAGGGAAAAATGAAGAAATAATGCAAACATGGGCGTAAGCACTAAATAAGCATTGCAGAGATTCAAAAGAACTAAATAAGCATTTAATAGCATAAAGGACTAAAGGCCATATCTCTTGTGCTGTCCTCTTGCCACCTGATTGACTGCTTGTTATTTGCATTCTGTGAAACACAAATATATATCCCATTAAGCGAGATATCTGAAAAGATTGCACAGAAAGAGTAGACACAATTGCTAGGTGAAGGATGGCTGCCTTATTAATACTCGTATTTGCAGCAGTGCAGTAATAGGGTCACTTACTAGGAGATATCCTCAAATACGTTCAATTTGAATCTAATTCTTCAAAGAGAAAGAGGAGAAAATAAAAAGAAAAAAACACAAGGTGCATTACCTGCAAATTTGCTGGTGCAGGATCCTGTCTTCTGGTTAACACAAGACATGTGACATACTGGAAGACAACAATTCCGTGTGTCATTTGAAAATGGATTGCTTGGAACTTCCAAATGCACAATAGTCTAAAATACAAAAGAGAGGTTTGTGTGTGGAAACTGGTTGGGTTTGTGCTGGTGCTGCTGGCTTGTGGTGGTGAAAATTTGAAGCTAATTAATGCTTCAACCAGGCTTGAATCAAAGCTACAAACAACTTGTGAAATAGCATGGATTTTTAGCTGCTTGACACTTTTGAAATATGGAAAAAAAAATCAGGGAGGTGCTGTAGCCCATCAAAGAGCTGGGAAGATTTTAGTAGCTGAGCTCTATCTACCTCTTAGAGCTTTAAGAAGGGTGCAGTGTTGGAATTAACTCATTCAGTTGTATTGAAGAAGATGCATGTAGTGAATATTGAAATTAAATTAAAAGAAATAATGGTATTCTCAAGACATCGACTTCTGAGAACAGAATTTGAAGAAAGGCGTCCTTCAGCTGGATCAGTCATCTGAAAAGCAGACTTTGTCTCCTGAGCAGTTTGGAATAGTAAATGTCGCACTTCTGTATTTCAGACTTTAAATTTCTTGTTGGTTTTAGCTGTTTGTGAAAAGAATAAAATTCATTTGCACATCTTCCTTCTAAAATATGGCAGTCTGAGGGTTAAGGATCTGTTAAACACTTAAAGTAAGTTTTTGAGAAAATTTAAGCAATGCTTACACTATGAAACAAGAAGATATTAAACCAAAGAGAAGTCAGTCAAGCACTGAGTACTTTTTACAATTAATTTTCATTAACATGCTACTGGGCTCTGGCCTAATGGAAGGTTGAATCTAATTCCATGTAACTTGTTGTGTGTGGACAAAGGCTGCCCCTTTTGTTTTTATCTTGAAGTACATTGCAAATTAAGGTTAGGAATTGACCTTAATATATATTGCAGTGATGTTTAAGTGTTACCTATTTCAAAGCAAATACTTTTTTTCCACTTTTGTGCAAAAGCAGTTTGTGGTAATTGTTCTAGGTGTCTGGAATCAACGTACAATAACTAAAACACGTGTATCTTTCCAGGGGGATCTTAATAAGACTGGAAGGATGCAGCCATCCTGTTGTTATGAAAGGGCTGTGCGCAGAATGCGGCCAGGACTTGACTCAGTGAGTATTCCCAGTTCTCTTCCATTTTGCACTGATTTGTGGTTAGCGATTCAAGTTCCCCTTCTGTCATTCTCTTTTTCCTTCTGAGACTTAGTAGTCATGGTGGATCTTTTGTAAAACTTACTGTGAAGCTGCAAATACTCACAGGCAGGGAGTACAGTATTCCTAATACCTAACATAAATAGGAAATGTTAGTCTGCTGCTGAATGGGGAGGGTGCCTTGGTGATGGAGGATGCAAAGAAGGCAGAGTTACTAAATGTCTTCTTTGCCTCAGTCTTTACTGCTAAGGCCAGCCCCCATGATTTGAGCCTGGAGGCAAGAGAGAACCAGGAGAGAAGAGGACTTTCCGATGGTCGAGGAAGATTGGGTTAGGGATTATTTAAGCACACTGGACACCCATAAATCTACAGGCCTGGATGGGATGCATGCAAGAGTGCTGAGGGAACTGGCAGGAGTCATTGCTCAGCCACTCTCCATCGTCTTTGAGAGGTCATGGAGGGCAGGGGAGGTACTGGAGGACTGGAAGAAAGCCAGCATCCCTCCCCCCTTCAAAAAGGGCAAGAGGGAGGACCCGGGAAACTACAGGCTGATCAGCCTCACTTTCGTCCCTGGAAAGGTGATGGAGCAACTCATCCTAGAGACCATCTCTAGGTATGTCAAGGAAAAGAAGGTGATCAGGAGTAGTCAGCATGGATTCACTAAAGGAAAGTTGTGTATGACGAACCTCGTATTCGGCACAGTCTCCCATAAAATCCTCATAGGAAAGATTAGGAAGTGTGGACTGGATGAGTGGACAGTGAAGTGGATTGAGGACTGGCTGGATGGCAGAGTCCAGAGGGTGGTGATAAATGGGGCCGAGTCTGGTTGGAGGCCTGTGGCCAGTGGTGTCCTGCAGGGGTCGGTACTGGGCCCGGTGCTCTTCAGCTTGTTCATCAGTGATTTGGACGAGGGCACAGACTGCACCCTCAGCAAGTTTGCAGATGACACCAAACAGGGAGGAGCGGTCAACACTCCTGAGGGCTGCCCTGCCATTTGGAGAACCTAGAGAGGATGGAGAGTTGGGCAGAGAGGAACCTCATGAGGTTCAACAAGGACAAGGGCAGGCTTCTGCACCTGGGGAGGAATAACCTCAGGCACCAGTATAGATTAGGGGCTGACCTGCTGGAAAGCAGCTCTGAGGAGAGGGATTTGGGAGCCCTGGTTGACAACAGGGTAACCATGAGGCAGCAGTGTGCCCTCATGGCCAAGAAGGCCAATGGGATCCTGGCCTGCATCAGGAGGAGCGTTGCCAGCAGGTCAAGGGAGGGGATCCTGCCCTTCTACTCAACCCTGGTGAGGCCACATCTGGAGTATTGTGTGCAGTTCTGGGCTTCCCAGTACAAGAGGGATGTTGAGCTTGTAGAGAGGGTCCAGTGTAGAGCCACGAAGATGATTAAGGGACTGGAGCATTTGTCATAGGAGGAAAGACTAGGTGAGCTGGGCCTGTTTAGTCTGGAGAAAAGAAGACTGAGAGGGGATTTGATCAACCTGTTCAAGTACCTGAGGGGTGACTGTAGGGAGGATGGGGCCAGGCCAGAAGAGTCCATGGTGGCCGGTGACAGGACGAGGGGCAACAGGTGAAAGTTGAAGAAGTTCCAACTCCATATGAGGAAGAACTTCTTTACTGTGAGGGTGACAGAGCCCTGGAACAGGCTGCCCAGAGAGGCTGTGGACTCTCCTTCTCTGGAGATCTTCAAAACCACCTGGATGCCACCCTGTGCCATGTGCTTCAGGGGCCCCTGCTGGAACAGGGGGGTTGAACTAGGTGATCTCTAGAGGTCCCTTCCAACCTTAAGCATTCTGTGATTCGGTAGTCTTCCTGTGCTGGCTTCTGTAAGGGCTGTTGAGAGAGTTTCTTCTAGACATTAGCTTTCAATCTGAAATGCTCTTGAACCCCCCTAAAAGGGGGGAGATACAGAGGTGAGCTAAATCATTATTTAAAGATGAGGGGTTTGCGTGTTCGTTCCTGATCACGTTATTAATGGTGTAATAAGTTAATGAAGTGTGTTTCGCAATTGGCATGTTGCTGTTCGCCGGCAGGAGCTGGTGTCTCTTGGGGATAAAGTCAACACGCAGAGAGGAAGCTGGCAGGATCTGTGCCCTTGTTGCCAGGTGGCCAGTTCACTAAAGCATGTTAAACATGGAACACCATCCATCATCTGCAGTGGTGCTTGTTTTGCCACCATGAAATAGTTTGTCAAGTATAGGCTGTCTTTCTCCTTATGTTGCTGTTGTCACAGATACATTGTTTAGAACTATATTTACTTTAATTATTATAGGGCTTAATAACAAGGTGTATAGGCCAACAGGAGGCCATGTGCATGTTGAGGGTGTAAGTTCGTAATGTGAGCTATAATTCAGCAACTGCAAACTCTTTCTGTGCAGATAAACGTAGGGCAACTTATTATTTTAGTAGAAAAAGTAAAGATTATATATACAGACTTAAATCATCAAGGTATATTGCCTTTTTTTAATGTGCTCGTATCTGAGGCTGAAATCTGAAAACTTGATCTGTGCAAGTATAAATAACTATGAGATTTTATTGGTCGTGTGACCTACCTTCTTGTACTGACTAAAAATGCATTTAGTAATTTGGGAACTAGTTTCTCTACAATGATTTCAATTTCAGAATTGAATTCAGAATTGTTTTCAATTTCCTTGTGAAAAGAAATGGAACTAAAGCAATTTTAAGTTTTAGGCCAAAAAAAAACCTTTTTTGATCTTTTTTTAATATTATTTTTAATCTTCTCTGTCATTGCTAATACAATTGTTAAAAAAAGACTTTCTTATACATACCAAATTATTAGTTCAGCAGCTGTTTTTCAAAATAGATTGCTCAGTAGCCTGGACTTTAGAAATAAATGATGCATGGTCCTTTCATTTTAAAGGAAATATATTGGTTTAATTTACCTTATAAACCACTTTAAGAGAAGAAGTTGTATGAAATAATTCTTAATAAGTAGACCGATTAAAAAAAAAAAAAAAAAAACTATTCAATATGTAGCCCAGTTAATGGTGGACTAATTAATATTGATAATTATGGATTAGTATTAGCCCATAATGGCTATATTTTAATTTCTAATGAAAGGCAGAATGTTAGTATTTTATACACAAAATATTATTTGAGGAACAGCAAACCAAACAGAAAATTTAGCTTAATAAAGAGTTGACTTTTGCCAGTCCTAAATGATTACCTAATCTGAGATTTGAGTACAGGCGCGCCTTAATATTGCATTTCTCCTGTTAAACAATTACTTCTTAAAAGTTTAAATTAATTCAGATTATGCAGCGAATTATTTTCTGTTAGTTAAGTACTGCTCTCTTTTGGAGAACTTCATTTTATACAAGACGACATCTGGAGCAGTGCATTAGTTCTGCTCAGCCTACACCAAAAGGCAATTCCAAAGTGTTGGTGCTTTTCTTGCTTTAAGGAAAGGATTTCTTAACAGTAAGGTGACAGAGCACTGGAACAGGCTGCCCAGAGAGGTTGTGGAGTCTCCTTCCCTGGAGATCTTCAAAACCCGCTTGGACGCAGTCCTGTGCCACGTGCTTTAGGTGACCCTGATGTGTAGCCAGTTCAGTGCCAGCCCTTGCTAGGTGTTGGGCAGCAGTGCATCCTTTTCATTATGCAGTTCTTATGGTTGTTCAATAAATGGTCTAAAAATAAGTTTGTTCTAAATGCTCGTTTAAAATGCCAGTCAGCATAACATATAAGAGAGGTTCTGGACTCTGGTGCAAAGGATATAAGAGGCTAAAATGTCCATGTTATCTTTGGACTAGTGGGCCTAACGAAATACCTCTCTACTGTTTCTGGGTACCTGTAGTGCTTCCAAGCATTAGGCTACAATAGAAGTTACTCTCAGTCTGTGCTTGTGTCTTTGTCACTGCATAAAGGCCCCAAAGAACCCCAGTATTCCTTGCCTTAAGGAAAGCAGCAGTGACCTGCTTGGCACAGGGTTTTAATAATGTGTGAAGTCTGTGTGAAGCTTCATTCTAACTGCTGTGGTACCAAATTTTTCTGTCATAGCACCAGATACTTGGGAGAATTAAAAGATGCACTTGTCACATGGGACTGCTGTATTTTTAATCCATTGTTTTGGATTCAGCAGAAATAAATTTAAAAATAGATGCCAGAATTCACAACTAATAGATCTGTGTAAGCTGAAAGATAAGAATACATTGAAACTGTGGTATTACTTGGTCAGGTTTCAAATAATGTCATATGCTCCACACACATGTCTACACATACGTGTGTATACGTACCCATACAGATGTACACATGAGCATACACACTGTTCTGCCTGCCAAAGAGGAAATGTGTGTATGTGGAGGGTTGCTGCTTTTCTTAAAGCAGCAGTTTTTAAATGGGAATGATTTGGTAACAACAATTGTATTTATAATACAATTGTTTCCGAATAGATGCAAAATTATAGTTTTAATCCCAGTGTTCTAATGCCAGTAAATATCTAGTTATTATTGTTTCATCTTAGTATAATTTTTCATGAAATGATTCTTTGGAATCTTAATTACAGTAACTTTCTTGCCTTATTTTTATGATGAGCTTCTTGGATTGCCTCATCCCTTTTTGTCTATAACTTTCATTAAAGAGACTTTGAAGGGCATACTAATCTGAATCAAAATGTCTCACTTTACAGTGTCTGGTAGTGACTAGTTTGATATTTTAGTGTGTTCAAATTTTCATTAATTCAAGTGTTTTTCTGTCTTTTGATGCCTTTTTTTTTCCTGCGTGGTCAGGTTACGAAGCAAGAATGGAAAACAGAATGTGCCATTATCCACAGCAACTGTGTCTATGGTTCACAGTGTCCCAGAACTGAAAGTTAGCTCAGAGGTAAGGGAGCATTCTTCTGCATTCTTTGTACCTTTCACTTCAGATCTTAACTGAACAGGAATTACATAACTATATGTAATTCTTTAACTATAGGACTTTTTTTTTTTGAGGAAAAAAAATAATTGAGGAGGGTGGAGATGTGTTGAATATCAGTAGGTTTTAAAAACTTTTCATTGAAAAGATGGCAGCTCTCTGACAACAGCCTAAAAGTATTACTTTAGTATTGCTGGGGGCTTGTTTTGTGCCCAAGAGTAGGAATGCTAGGGAAGCTCTATCTTCGGCAGCTGAGATGGGTGCAAAGCTAGCCATGTCTTTGAGAGGTAGCTTTACCTTGTTTAGGCAGGAACCTTGAAATAGCTTTTACTAGATTTTAATAGAGCTAGTTTGTGTGTAACTAACTTACCTGTGATTTAAATTCTTTTCAGTATTTTCAAAGATTCTGTTCTGCTGAGTTATCAAAATGTGCTTGTTTGTTTTTCCTTCCTCTGTTTCTTTAGAGGAAAAAAACATGTTTAACAATAAATATCCAATTTATTTCTTACCAACATGCTTTTAATTGCAACCAAAATGGTTTCTCCTCCCACCCTTTTTTCTTCCTCTTCAAAGAGGACACCTCCACCTCCACACTGGTAGGAAGATGCGTTAGCAGGAGGAAATTTTAATTCAAAGCTACTGGCCTATAAAGTCTTTAATATCAGTGCTTGCAAAGAAGATGTAAAGGCATATTCTTTAAACTTCTGGCGACAGCCATAATGATTTCTGTCATCAGCAGCTTCAATTTGATACTTAATGTAGTCACTGATTTAATTGATGTCATAAAATTGCTGAATTTACTAGACAAAGTTTTCAGTAGTAGTATTAACTTCTCTAGTTTTGTGCAGTCTGAAGCTAGTTCATCTCAAGAATCTTGCCCTTAGATTACTTTCTTTTGTTTCTTTTATTTATATTTTAATTGTATTGTACTGATTGTATCAATTTTCAGTTACTATAGTGTGGTGGGTCTTTTAGAAGACTCTTGGAATAGTGGTTGTTTTTGTTTGTTTGTTTGTTTTTTCTCCTATGGAAAAATGGTTGACAAAGTTACCATTGCTACAGCTATGTCGAAGTGTTATTTCTCATGCAGTTACTTTTTAGCAGGATATCTTCTTGAGTTAACAATATACAGAAGTCAGTAAATGCAGTTTTATTTCTTGTAAGCCAGACTCAGTATGTGAGTCTTTTTCTTACAGCAAGCTGAGCAGCTAGGAAGGGAAGATCAGCAGCGACTACACAGAAATCGGAAACTGGTGCTCATGGTAGATTTGGACCAGACCCTGATCCATACTACTGAACAGCACTGCCAACAAATGTCTAACAAGGTAAATATTTGCAGTTAACTTTCTGGCCAGAGTCATGATAGGAATATTTCTAAGCATTTTTATTTAAGTAATGGTTCTTTAAGAAAACATTTGATAGATAAAATAATTATTTGGAGAATAAAAAAAGATGAGAAAAATGTCATCTGAAATATATTCCTTTTTATCTCTCTAGTTTAATTGGCCACTCTGTTTCCTCCATTTAGGCTTTTCTGCACTTTCCATTCCAGTCACTATAAGCAAGAAATTTCAGATAGCTTTCTTTACTGTAAGGTTCATAAACTGAATACCCAGTAGTGAGGTTTTTTCTTCAGAGTCCCAGGTGGATATAGTGAATTACTGTTAGACATCCCCTTTAGGGTAATTCTGTGGTTCTCCTATTCCTATCATTTTTCTGTAAAGATGCGTAGTAATTATTTTTTTCTTCAGTCTCTTCTTTCTTCTGGGGAGATAGTGCTTAATTTCTTCATGAAATACTTCTTTTGAACTGATAGGGGCCATTGGATTGTAGTATTTGCAAACTTTGAAAGAAACAGTATTTTGGAATGTGTCTACATGGTTGGATACAGGAGGCTGCAACATCAAATTGCAGTTCAGTGCCTTGCAAAATGCAGCTGCTTAGTTCTTTCATATTTCAGCATGTATTCCTACCTACTAGCAAAATCAACTCATAAATGTACTTTTTAATTGCCAGGAAAGATAACAGTGGATATGCAGTTTCAAGATTAAAAAAAATATATATGTTTGGAAGGCTGTGCCTTTCATCTGCGTAAAAAATTGGAAAAGCTTTAACTAAGACTGGTTTTTAGAGTTTAATTAAGATGTTTTTTGCAGAGTTCCTTCCCAATTGCTGTCTGATTTTATGTATTCATAGGATAGATTTATTGTTGTTGTTGTTTAATTTAATCCAGTGGAAAATCTTTCTTTAAGCTTAAGATGTAGAAAGAAATCTGAAAGTCACTGAGTGGTGGTGAGTAGTGACATCCTGAGCATTGAGACATTTCTTACCTTTCTTTTGGGTGATTGCTTTGGTGCAAGTGAACCTGTGAACAAAAGCTACATTGTTCATTAATGCTTCAACAATGTAGCTTCTTGCATTTGCAAAATTTAATCTCCGTCTCTTTTGACCAGAGCAAAATTGCTTTGGATTTTATTCACTCAGATAATCTTTTTGGCTAAAACTTAATCCAGTTAGACTAAATTAAAGCAATGGAAATGATGCAAGGGACACTTTTGTAATGTTGGTCTTTATATAAAAAATATGCCTTTTCTCCTAGGGAATATTTCATTTCCAGTTGAGTCGGGGTGAGCCTATGCTGCACACTCGTTTGCGTCCTCACTGCAAGGAATTCCTGGAAAAAATTGCCAAGCTCTATGAATTGCATGTTTTTACCTTTGGCAGCAGACTCTATGCACATACAATTGCAGGTGAGTCGCACATGACATTATTCAATAGTATTTAAGTAGTCTGTCTTCATCCCATTAAGTTTCTTTTTGTTTGATTGTCTTCAAATATTTCTTCTTTCTCTCTCCCCTTCCCCAAACTCTTCATAAATAATCATGTAAGCAGAATTTTTGGCTTGTTTAGAAGCCAGTGCCTGTATAGCCGCTGATTTTAGACATGATTTTTTTTATTTTGTACTATTTAGAGAATCGGATTGTGACATGACAGTAACTAGTGCCTTCCTATTGAATTAAGCAGTGGTTTTGATGAGCTTTGAAAATGATCCACATGGTCACTTGCCTTAGACATCTAAAGCAGCTATTCCATAAAAATCTGCAACATGAAACAATCTCTTTCCATGGGGAGAAAAAAGGCTACCATTTCCCTTCAGTGAAGGGAGTTTAACTGCTGTAAGTCAATTTACAGGAATTCTCTTTGGTTGCCGTGGAGCCAAGAAGCCCTTATCAGCAGAAAAAGTATATATCTAACAATGTCTTCATTTACGCTTCTCAGCAGTATTAGTATTTACTCCCTGTAACTCAACACTTGCATTTTAATTCTGAAACTTATTGCAATGGTAGTCCCTGGTCCATGGTATGGGTCACTAACTTTTATTTGTTTATTTATTCCAGCAAGCAAGGAGTTACCTTGTTACGCAAGCACATGGGTCAAACTGTTGTTGGGCATGTGACCATGTTTTTAAATTTGACTTTCACCCCATCTTGAGTCTTTTACAGAATAGTGGTTACACCTCGTATTTTGCTGCTGTTTCTTGCTTCCCTCATGTTTTCCTTGGCAGTCTTTCACATGGGCTTTGTGTCACATAACCATGAGTGCCACGAGTGAGCAATGCTATTGTAATGCTAAAGAAACACTACTTGACAAAAGAAAAAAAAAACTACAAAATATTTGGAGAACTAACTATTCTAGTTCATTTCTGAAACAGTTATTAATAAGAATTATGTAACTTGAAAGTGCTCTAGGCATGTTAAGTAAGCTGCAGAAGATGTTTGTTACAGAAATGGGTGAGTGTTTGCTATGGGAAAGAGACGCCTATTTGTGGTCTCCAGGTGAATTCCCCTCCTTGAGAGAAGCTTGGAGACGTATGTCCTGTCCAGCCAAATAGAGGACAGTGAGATTGCTTCTTTTTCTACATTACTCAGTATTTCTCAGGGTGAACTGTTCAAAAGAGCTCCCCTTAAAGGTGGTCTCACCTACTGGACAGTGCATTGCAGATGTGTAACATTTGTACTCTACTGGCCTCCTTCAAATGGAGTTTGACTCAGATGTAGCAACAGGGTTGTCTTAGACACTAGATTTAAGCCACAGACAGCAATAAAGTGTGTGGCCACTTTTTCTGACGTAGATCTGTGCCAGAATCAACACGTGGCCCCACCAACTGCGGCTCTTTGTGGCAAGCCTTTCTGTGGGCGTCATATTTGATCTGCTCTCTCTGATGCCTGCGAA